GTCCTGGAACTAGCTCTTGTAGACCAGGCTGGCCTCAAACTCACAGAGATCCGCCTGCCTCTGCCTCCCGAGTGCTGGGATTAGAGGCGTGCGCCACCACGGCCCGGCTGTAATATACATTTTATGACATTAAATGGGTATGTTTTTATACATACTGCCTCCCAAGGTATGGTCATAATAATATATTGTGCAAATTAACAATATTAATGTGAAACTGTGAAAATGATACCGATAGATCATAGCACAACATATCGTACTCTGTTAAACAATAATAGGAAGTGAGCATAAAGGAAAACCTAGCGGTAGAAGCAGGACCACGTAAATAAACAGCAACTGTCAGATATGGACATGGCGAGAGGAAGACCAGAGAATAGAATCTGAGAGGAAACAAATCCAGAGCTGACGAAGTTTTCAGCACCTACTCAAGGAGTTTAGTGCGTGCCAAGACTTTGAGAATGTAGAAAAATACCTTGTTATAAACCTTCCACTGGAAGACACAGGCTAAGGAGAAAAACAGCCCGGCGGTGGTGATGCACGCCTTTCATCCCAGAACTCAGGGAGGCAGAGGCAGGTGGATCTCTGCGAGTTCGAGGCCAGTCGGGTCTACAGAGTGAGTTCCAAGACAGTCAAAGATATCACAGAGAAACCCTATCTCAAAAAACGAAAAAGAAAAGATGAAAAGAGGAAGAAATAACAGGTTCTTAAATTTTAAAGGCATACCATTTTCTTCCAAAAATATGCTCAGTCCATTCACAATTTCTTGCCTGCTTCTCAACTTGCTATTCATCTCTATGATCTAAATTAGAAAGCATAATTAAAGTACGGAAGAGAAGGTTCTTAAAAATCAAGTAAGTCTAGCTTTCATGATCAATCGGATTGCCGGTTACTATGTATTAAGCCTCTCTGTGTAAATGTTACCCACAAAGTTGTATTTGAATACTTAAGTCTCTTATTATCAGAGAGCTATTGCATTAGAGGAACCGCTGCAAAGTTTAGATTGGCTTCCAGTGCAAACTCAGCTTCAAATTGCACACGTTTTAAGATGTGCTGGACGGCATGGGTCTCCGAGGCTGTGTGGCCCTTAGGATGGTTAGTGGTCCTAGGGACCATCAAGGAGCAGGAGTGGAGGCGAGGCCTCTTCTCCATTTGCCTTGCATCCGTACATGCAGAACCCAGATGGAAAACCCTGCAGGGTGGTAAATCCCTCATGAATTTTCATTTAAGTTTTGATTCCATAGGGCTTTAACCCTTTTTGTTTGGTTCCCTCAAACTCTTTAAAGTTTCAAACGTAACTTCTCTAATAATTTGGGTGAAGCATCCTCAATCTTATTTTGCACTTTAGTGTTCCATGTTCAAAATTTTTATTAGTGTCTAGCAGTCCGTGGAAGACAAGCATTTCCCAGTCCTGCCAGGCCTGAGTCATTTTCAGATTGAGCCAGTGCTGATGGTGATAAGCCAGTCCCGGTCTGTACCATTCCCGGCACTCACCAGAAACTGGCATATGCTCTTGTCCCCATCCCCCAAATCCGTTTCTTCTTGGGGTGATTCCTGGCAACCTTAAGAGTTGGTTCAAGTGCAGAGACAGCTGACCTGAGCTCGTGGGAGCTCAAGGACTCTGGACTTAGGGAGCCTGCGTGGGAGCAACCTAGGCCCTCTGCATGTGTGTGACAGTTCTGTAGCTTGGTCTGAGGCTCCTAGCAGCGAGATCAGGATCTGTCCCTGGCTTGCTTAGCTGGTTTTTGGGAACCTGTTTCCCCATGCTGGGTTACTTCGCCCAGCCTTGATACAAGGGGAGCTTGGTCCTGCATCAACTTGAGGTGTCATGCTTTATGTATTATTTATTGTTATTTTTTATGTGCCGTGCCCATGGGAGGCCTGCCCCTTTCTGAATGGATGAGGAAAGTAGGAAGATGGGAGGTGAGGGGGAGGGGATGGGAGAGGAGGAAGGAGGGGAAACCGTGGTTGGTATGTAAACTAAATGAAAATTTAATAAAAAAGAAGAGTTGGTTCAATAATTTCTGCAAGAGGTCTCTCTGTGGAGGTGGCAGACACTCTCTGTGCATGTCCAATACACTCTCTGTAACCTCACAGAATGCTGGCACCCACTGTTCAGACTCTCAAGAGGTAAGGCGCGCCTTCTCCTTGCACACCGAGTGCGGTACTGGTCCATTCAATGAACAGACGGATATCCAACTAAAAGACGGAGAATCTGCCACAACTTTGTGTCATACCTGAGGACACTGGACATCTCGATCCTCTGATAATTTAGACATGTGGGACAAAGGTGACCTAATTCGGAGAGATTTACGTACGACTAAGAATAGAGTTAGATTTTGCAGGAACAAGAAAAAGACGATTCCAGATTCCGACAAGTGTTTAAGATAAGTAGAGGATTGCCTTAGAGACTGTTAGAAGGGGCCCCGGCCTTGGCGATCAGGATCACGTCTGGACTTCAGAACCCAGCAGGTGGCCGCCTATCACAGCGTAGTTGGAGTGTGAGACTGCCTTAATTTCTACTCTGATTTTTAGTTTAGACAGTAGACTTCAATGGTTCAGCAAGAAAAAAAAATACAGGTTTAAAGAAATGGAGTGTTATCAAAAAGAAAAATGGACTCTGGATCTAGAGGGAGCACGGAATCCCCTGGGAGCACCAAACCCCTGGGAGCACCAAACCCCCGGGGATTCTGGCGGGGCTGAATTCATAGCCCAATTCCTCTTTGTTTCAAATCTTTGAAGACAAGAGCCTTGCTAGTTTGCCCAGACTGGCCTTTAATTTGCTTTGTACTCAGCCAGGCCTTGGGTTTTCCATCTTTTTGCCTCCTCCTGGGTCACCACCTGGTAAACCAGGCCCAGCCTATAGCTCCCGTTTGATTAGTCATGCTCTTGAATATAGAACGTTATTAACAACCTCGAGTATTTTCATTTGTCTCTGCAGTCAAATTGACTATTTTCTGTTAATACCTTTCTTTGCGTCACTCATCACGACTTCAACAAACAGGAGAAATGGGAGCGCGCACTGTCTTTTAATCCTCTGCACCCCCATTTTCTCGTGTGGACAGCTGACTGGATAGCTTCACAGACCCTCCATGGACCCTCTTCCTTCGGTATCGAATCCCTCTTTTGGGGGAGGGCGTGGGCGGCATGTTTGGGATCAACACCAGACACTTGACCATTTGCGCATGCTCGGCAAGCGCTCTGCTCTGAGCTCCTTTCTTACCTGTCTGGGTAAGCTAGCCAGCAGTGCTCGCGAAAGGAGCACTCCCTTTGGCTGACAGAACTGTCAAGCGTTAACCTATTTTGTACGTGTAAACCCTAACCTGGATTTAATTAAAGGAAGCGGTTGCGGGGACGAGGCAGAAATCCTTAATAAATAAATAAATTTAAAAAAAAAAAAAAAAAAGGCTCTCGCTCCGTTTCCACCTTGAAGAGACTGGAGGGATCTTGCAAAAATATGATGAAAATCAAAGGGGGGGGGGATCTTATTTATGCTTTTAGTTAAGAAACGTAGAGTGCAGAGGTATGGTTTCCAGGGACTGCAACCTGAGCCACTAAATTTGTATAAACCACAATTAAATAATCAAGGAAAGCACTGATCTGTTTATCTGAACGGGCCCCAACACTTTTCACTATATAAACAACCTAAAAGGCCCCAGGCGTGCCTATGCGACCCCTGGCTTCTGCTCTGGCAAAGTGTTTGTACCAAAGGGACCCACAGGCCTCTCACCTCCACAGGCCTCCTCCACGTGGGTGTCAGCACCGGGGCGGAACCGGCCTTGCTCAACACATTTGGGTACCAACGGTGCTCTGAGAAAATGACATTTAAAGTTTTCCCTTTCTCTAGCCGAGGACACGGAAGACTAGAGGGAGGCATGAGTAATTTAGGATCTTTCTCCCTGGATCTTTCCACCCTGTTGTTAACTCCTCTGCTCCCGGTCTCCCAGGCCGCAGCCGTTAGTTACCTGCATACGGGAAGCCAGGGCCTCTCGGTTGCTGCCTGCTCCAGCCATGGTGTCCGGGACTCGCGGGTGCTGCTGGGACTGAAGCAGAGATCCTGGGGGGATGGGGAGCTCTTGGAAAGGGAGGCTACAGCCAACAGGGCCAAGAGCCCAGAGCCACAAAACTTGGATGATCGCAACATTAACCCACTCCCATGTAAGAAGCAGGCAGCTCAGCCACCCTGATGCTCCAAAGCCGTCGGGAAGATGTCGCGAGCCCGAGTTCATTTGCTCAAAGAAGCATTTCTCAGAGTCCTCTGCGACGAAATACTTGTATTTTGTGGACCCTAAGGCGCCCTCCCCCTTAGACCCATTCTTCATGGTAAGTCATCTGTTAAGGATGCTCAGCCTCGGAATTAGTGTCTGCAATCCTAAATTGATGCTCAAATGGGCTAATACAAAAATGGGTTTCTCTATGTGTGGTCGGACCAATCTGACTTACTGAGAAAATGAATCTACGGTGTTTTGTTTTGTTTTTTTAAAGGGCTGGTGTGTATGTATGAGACAATTTCTTCCTGTTTCTGTTCCTTGGTGAACTTCTCAGTTTGTCCAATGAAAGAGGACTTGAACTTGGCTTGGACAAGGACTCCAAGCTGTGACAGGAATGAAAATGTGGGTTCTGACCCCAGCATCCCTGCCTCAACACACACACACAACCACAGGAAGAGAAACTGGGTTCGCAGTCTGAGCCTACAAACCCAGCAATGGGCAGATAGCCTGGCAGAAAAATCAGTGAGCTCCACGTTCAACAAGAGATCTTGTTGGGAGAGGCCAATGCAGAGGGCAATACTGTAAAAATACTGCTCTCCTCCACCCTCCTCTGCATGGAGGAAAACCCGTGCCAATGAGCACCGACACCACACACACACACACACACACACACCCACACACACGTCAGCAGGAAGCCCCATCACAAGGTGAGTGAGAGAGGTGTGGGAATGAGCAGTATTTGGGTCACGGCAAACCTAAGTTTGGTGGGGAAACACTGAGCAGCAGGAATAACTCCACGTATTATAATTTATTTGTAACACAAAGATTAAGAATTCATAGGTGACTCATGAGAACGGTAGATGGTGTGTGCAGACACCATATCCACCACAATGTATCTTACTTTACACAGCAAAAGGCACTCATTAAACAAATCACGTTTTTTTTTTTTTGTTGTTGTTGTTTGGTAAAGTATTGAAACGTTGTCCTGGTTTGTGAAGGAATACATGAGAGAGAAAAAAAACGATGGTAACCTAATTTTTCTGTTGAAAAGGTTGATCTTCCCACATATACTTTCTGACAAAACCTGACCCTAAGGCTAAAATATTATCATATCGGAGAGGCAGCGCTACCTTATTTGGTCATGTTCTCATTCTCTACCTCGCCACCTGACTTGAAACTTGCACTGAAAACCCGTTTGTGATGAGCCAGCTGAGCCATGTGGGTAAATTCTCCTAAACAGTAACCTCGTAAGTCAGGCACCCAAGGGCACACCTGTCCTCTCCTGTGGCGTCTACGGCTCGTCAGGCACCCAAGAGAACCCCATCCTCTCCTGTGGAGTCTACTGCTCGTCAGGCACCCAAGAGAACCCCATCCTCTCCTGTGGCGTCTACGGCTCGTCAGGCACCCAAGAGAACCCCATCCTCTCCTGTGGATCCTACAACTTACACCTAGTTTGAAGGTTAGGTATGAGAACAAAATCAATACTGCAGAGTATTTATTTATATATTTTACAACTTCAAAACAGTTTTCCAGTATACAAATAGGCTAGTAAATCCTCATTTATAAAATAATCATTTTGATACATGATAATGCAAAAAATGGTTGAAAACCACATCAATGTCAACAGTTACTATCAGAAGCTTAATCATGAACTTTCTGGAAGGTGGGTTAAATGGTGAAAAAATGGGCGGCCATGAACACACTCTTTGGTTTCGCTTCCAAACTGGCGCATCATCCTATAGATAAGCTCTTGGATGTCTTCTCTTGGTAAGTACATGGGGAGCTGTCTTGAGAGACGGACTGCTTCCCCCTGTGAAGAGAAAAGGAACACACTTCATTAGGATCGACCCTGAAGAAAAAAACACATTATTCTGGCAGATAAAAACTGAAGAATACCTATTTAATTAATAACAGTTAACGATGCTGCAGACTCTGGAGGCTGAACACCAGACCTCGTGAAGTTTACATCTCAGTGCGGAGAAACAAGACTTGTGAGCAAATGGCCTACGCGCGGTTAACTGGACAAGGGCAGTGATGGCGCAAAGGGGAAGCTAGCTCAGAGGATGACATTTAGGCTTTTCAGTTAAGATGCCAAGGTCATGAGCAAAGTAAAGCATTTCGGAGAAGGAAACGTTCTGTGTGGGTGTGGCCCAGAGAGGAGATAAGACAGAAGTTAAGCAGGCACCGGGTCACCCTCCAGGACAGGAACTAGAGATGAAATAGAGCCTGCCAAGTATTTCCCATGTCTTGGAGCGTTCTGGCTGCAGGGGGAAACGGGGTTTGAGGCCGACAGCCACTGTGGGGCTGGTAACAAGAGCTGCTGTGGCCGTCTGCCTCAGGCGGTGTGGCTAGGAGGTCTGCAGAACCAAAGGGAATGTCCTCAGGTTTGGTGCAGAAATGCTGTTTTCTGATACAGGGAGGAGAAAGGTCTAGGGAAACAGCATCATAAACAAGACTGGCTTCTTTTAGTATTAAAAAAGAAATCCTGCCCCCAGAGTTGTTACATTTTAACATCATTCTCTTAGCCACGGGCCTCTAACCCTTCCAACCATTCCAGCCCCGTATTCCAACAGAATCTGTCTTTCCTTTCCTTTGACCTTTAACCCCTCCTTACTCTCAGACTCACAGGCCTCCCTGGAACTTTGTGCCCTCCCTCCTGAGGTTGAGTAGTGAATTCAGCATCCAGTACTATGTCTGACTTAGCGAATTCCTGGAATATAGTGTGTTCAGGTTTCTCTCCCTGCCCCTTAGTCCCTTTCCATATCCAACTTGTTAATCCTTAGCAGAGGGTAAACCTCCCGGACACCCCTGGAGTCAAGCAACTGCTGGGGTCGGACACAAGACCGAGGTCAGGTCCTAACAGCTCCCATGACACCTGGACATTGCTGCTCCTCACGGGGCTGTCCTTTCTTTTATTGTACCCCGTTTTCTTGGTTTCAGATCCCAGATGCCCAGTCTCTCTACCCCTCTACTAGTAGCCAAAGCCGTGTCTTCTTCTACCACGTACATCTTCTCATTCACCTCGAAAGGTTTCCTTTCAGCTGGTAGTGGACACTTGTGACCCCAAGTACTTGGGAGAGTGAGCCAGGAAGACTGGGAGGAGGAGTTTGAGAGAATCTGGGCTACATGGTGAGGTTTCAAACATACACACAAAAAGGAAAAACTATTTTTCACTCTTTTTGGCTCTTGATTCAGAGACCATGATGCATGTCCTTTCTAATGCTTCTCTGCCATGCTGAAATATTTATCACCCCCTTTGGTTTTCTCCAAACGGGGCTTCTCTGTGTCAGTCACCCTGGCTATCACAGAATGCAGTCTATACACCGGGTTAGCTTCTAACTCAGAGATCGCCCCGTCTTTGTCTCTCTCCCAAGTTCTGGCATTAAAGGTGTGTGCCTGGTCAACTTTTTTTTTTTTAAAGACCATTCCCCATAACAACCATACCTAGTTTCTCCAGTGTAAAGCCATTCAAGTCTATTCTCAACTGCCACTTTCTCATTATTTCTGAAACCTTATTTTTTATCCATGTTTCTTTTTTTCTTTTCTCTCTTAAGAAAAAGCCTTCTTTGGAGTTCCCTAAAACAATCAGTTCTGGATTGCCCTGGCAACTGGCTGGGAATTTCCACAAGTTCCCAAGGGGTCAACAGAGCTGGTCTGAGCGTCCTCTCCAGTCCCGGGGATGGGCATGGCTGCGTCTGAACACCACAGACAAGAGAGAGGGTGAAAACCAAGTCCAGGTTGGTTTGGGACATAACGAGAGACACAGTCACGGTCCTTAGTCTGTGCTTGGGTAGGCTTAGCCCTCTTCTTTTATGTTTGACTTCTGAGACAAGACCTTTAGTCCTGTGATCTTCCTGTTCAGTCTTCTGAGTGCTGGGAGGGCAGGCACGCCATCAGACCCAGCAGCCCTGAATGTGCTTTTCCAACCTAATTTCAATTCTCATTTTGGTAGATGCTATGTGAAGTGTAGTAAAGCTTCCATTTATTCAACAATTTAGCCTCATTTATTCAATAATGTAGATCTTTCGCTTCCTTTTGAAGAGCTCAGGGTTTAGAATCATAATACAATTTTTTTGACAAATAATACAGCATAACATTTGAACAACTTGGAAACCATTTTGAAATTAATAGAAAACAGCTCTACACAATATTTCATAAGTAAAACTGTATTATAAGGATCTCTCATAGCATTTATCACAGCCTATGTGTGAAATATTTTTATTGAGCTTTTTAAAGTAGCAATTTCTTTGTGAAAATAAACATTTTAGAATCTGCTCTTTTAATTACTTACTACTGGGCTAAGTGGGTAACCCAGCCCTTTAATCCTGGCCGAGGGTTAGGAGGGAGGCAGAGGAAGTGGATCTCTGAGAATTCAAGGCCAGCACGGTCCACAGAGTGACTTCCAGGCCAGTCAGGGACACAGAGTGGGACCCCATCTCCAAACAAAAGAAAAACCAAGCTTTTCCCTGGCTAAGAGCATGTGAGCACGAGACGCACCTCCAGATAACTCGTCACTTTCCGGGGTCTGCACTCGTAAGGCTCCTTTGCGTTCTTGTCTATTATGGCATTAAGAATTTCCTTTAAATCCATTACTCCGTAGAACGGGAGACACTTAGCCATGCCTTCTATTTCCAAGTAGTCTTCAGTACTGGAAACTCCTGAGAAAAAACAAAACACAGGGGCATAGTTGAGTTGGTTAAAATTATATTCCAGAACATATCCATTGGAAACAAAAATCACTGTTGGAACATTTAGTGAACCTTGACCGGAGTCTAATATTTCAGGACAAAGTTGCGTTGCTTCCTGGAGAACAAATAATGATTTCCCAGAAGCCTTCAATTAAGTCATAGGTGCTCAACGACCCCACGTGTGCCTTATATAATTTAATTTAATCTCAGGTCCCACTGGTCTGTTCCTCGCATTTGCTTAGAACATTGCTTACTTTGGAGAGAGAATGAAGAGAATGATATTTATTAAAGTCAAAATGGTTTTAAGCGTTTTGTCCACTGCTATACTCCAAGTTCTAGCCTACTAGCCTCATATCTAATTTAAAGACCGCGACAATTTTAACTTAGCAAGAATAAAAACAGACACCGTACCTTGTTACTATAGGATTTTAGGAACTAAACATGCTAGTGCTTATTCAGAGATTCAACTAAGGAAACACCAGAAACTGGTGTTACTTATGAAGCTATTTTAGGTAACTTAGTCGTGATAACTAAAGGCCACGTGACTGGACGTGTAATTAGGTAGAACATCCACGACAGGGTCTCTTCCAAAGCATCGGCTTTGACACTAGAGAAGTCACTCATCCTGTGTGAACAACAGCGGCTTTAATGCTGGGATCCATAGCGCCTGTGCATTTTAATGGCTGTTGGTGAACGAGTAACAACAGCAATCGGGCAAACTTGAAGGGCTGCAGCTCTAGGGGCCTGGCCGGTCTACTCTCGGTTATCTGCCAAACGGGAGATGTCACAGCGCGGGTCGAACCGTTTCCCCCAGGAAATAACTGAGGGAAGATGAGCGACGGAGTCCCCTAGAGGGGGTGAAATGCGTCTGAGGACACAGGAGGGACTGGAAATCACCAGGGAAGGTGAGGGGGACGGGACGGCTCGCCCATCCTTCTTAGGTACCATATAGATGTGAAGAAAAGGTACCTTCCCGCAACACAGACTAGAGGAATGGGTTGAGAATAAAGTCTCTCTCTCACACACTCACACAGACACCCATTCTTCATACTTGAAATTTTCCGATGGAAAGAGGCCACAGGACTCCAGGAAAAGCTCTCTATGAGGACTAGAAGAAGGGAGTGCAGCCTGGGTCAGGTCTGAGAGGGGGGCTGGGGCTGGGGGCTGGAGGGGGATTTAAACTCAGAGCCATGCTATGTGGAGTACTAGGCTTCCTTTTTGTTTGTTTGTTTGGAGACAGGTCTCCCTGTGTAGCCCAAGACTGTTGTAAGCTCACTATATACATCAGGCCAGCCCTAAACGTGCAGCAGCCTTCCTGTCTCAGCCCCTCAAGCTATGACAACAGGCCTGTGTCATCATGCCCAGCCTCGGCAACTGATTCATGTTACCTCAGGGTTTACACTTATTTTGTGAAGTTAAATTGCCGATTTTAATGAAGGGTTGTGCAAAAAAATTTGTTAAGGGGTAGACTCTCGAGGCAGGCTGTGTGGGTTTCACTGTAACACTGACATCCTCTGGAGCCAACTTAACCTTTCCGTGCTGGAAAACGGGGACTGACAGAAGTTCCCCTGGAGGCTGCTAGGATGGTAACGGGTTGATACGTTAATTCTTTGAAGGGCAGGCTGCACGCAAGGGCCACTGGGAAGTTACAGCTGTTGCTAGTGAAGAGCGTGGGAGATGGGTGCTCTGGACACGCCGTGTCCACCTCCACAAGAGCAGCCGGAGCCGCAGAGCTGAGGCGTGTCTGGGAGGCATCTGTACCTGGTCAGGCTGTGAAACACCAAGCGGACAGCCAGCTCTGGCTTCTGCACACTGTTGTTACTTATTTTCTTTCTAAAATTCACTGTGTATGTTTTGTCTGCATGTATGTCAGTGCACCGTATGAAGCCTCGCACGAGGAGGACAGAACAGGCTGGGATCCCCTGGAACTGGAGTTACAGACAGTTAGGAGCCGCTCTGTGGGTCCTCTGGAAGGGAAGCCAGCGCTCTTAGCCACTGAGCCCTCTCTCCAGCCCCCACTCACGTCTTCCGCTCCTCTGTGAAAGCACTTCTTTAAAACTCCTTCGCTACACACACGCTCTGGCTGTGACACTGTGGTGCTGGACAGGGGCAAGGGAAGCGAGGGACAGGCTAACCCAGGAGCTACGGCAGCACGGGAACCAGAAAAAGGCAGAAGGCGAGGTAAGAAAACTGGACTCCCCGAGGCAGACGCATCCTTTCCGATCTACCTGACAAAGCCATGGAGCCCCGACATTCCCGTGAGACAGCCGACGCTCCATGTCAGTTGGCAAAACAAGGCAAGAGCTTCAAACAGCGAGAGAGATGGCCGCCTCGCTAGACAGCCCATTATCCCACACCTCTGCTCTGACGTCAGAGTTCTGATCGCTGAGTTACAAGGAAGGCATCTGGGCTGCCATGCCAAAAGACAAGAGGAAGCCGCACAGCGATGGCCCGAGTGGCCCTCTGAAGGAAGTCCACTCCTGCACGCCCAACGACGACGACGACGTTCAGCAAAATGAAAACACACCCGGAAACCGTCCAAGCCGAGTGCGGATCTTGGGAGAAGGTTTTCCAAGTCAGAGACAGTATTTCCAAGTGAGCCCAGCATTGTACCTGGTATCCGCCTGATCTTGAAGCCATTTGCTGTCAGACGAGGGTCACTCAGGTAAGTTGATCCGCCGCATCTCTGGTCAACTGTCGACATTTTATGTAAAACCTCTAAATAATGAGACCCATTAAAAAGACTGAAAAAGAAAGAGATTATGGTTCTTTACGTTAAATATTCAGATTGAAATAAGAGGATTTATGGAGGCTCGTCCAAGGGTGACTTGAAAAGTGTTCCCATCACCCGAAGTGCCAAGCCCTGGAAGAAAGCCTTCTGCACTCTGCTAGCACAGTGTGAGAGGCCCGCTGGACAGCGTGCCCAGACAGGGGGACGGACAGACAGACATAAAGGACAGCTTGTGTCTTCTGGAGTATTACAAACTCAAAGAGAAATGTAAACAGTAGTTCTCTAAATATAACACACATCAAGTTACTCATATAAGATATAAAAAAAAACCACCCCATTTTTAATGGAAAATATAATTAGTTCAGGCAACAATCATTAGTAGATTACTGGAGATAGTAGACAGAGGGGTAGTGGGAGCTTTGAGAGGGAGGATCACTTTTGTCCAAAGCTAGTGAACTGCGTTGAAGCGCATGGAGCACCCGACCGGGAACAAGCCCTACCGGAAAGAAGAACCTAAATCTCCTGTCTTCCTGCAGTTAACTTTCAGCAAGAGACAGGGGAGGAACATGTTAGTGCCATTTTAGGGCCAGAGAGACGGCTCCATGGGTAAGAGCACCGGCTGCACTGCTGGAAGAGACTGGAGTTGAGCCGGGCGGTGGTGGCGCACGCCTGTAATCCCAGCACTCGGGAGGCAGAGGCAGGCGGATCTCTGTGAGTTCGAGACCAGCCTGGTCTACAGAGCTAGTTCCAGGACAGGCTCCAAAGCCACAGAGAAACCTTGTCTCGAAAAAACCAAAAAAAAAAAAAAAAAAAGACTGGAGTTGAGTTTCCAGTGCCCACAGCTGGCTACTCACAATGGTCTGTGACCGCGGCTGCAGGGCTCTGACGCCCTCTCCAGGCGTCTGAAGGCACCCGTCACATGGAAGTTATGCACATGCGCGTGTACGCAAATAAAACAGATCTTAAAGAAAAAAAGCCAAACCGAAAACCTCGCTGCCAATCAGGATGCAAGGAGGCAAGAAAAAAAAAAAAACTCCACCGACTGCTACACAGTAAATCAGTCAGACAATAAAAAATAAATACATCCAAATGCCATATGTAGAACTTACGGAAAGAAATTAAATTCAAAATTGTAAAACTAAAAAATAAAACAAAAACAAACCCTTCGAAACACCGAGGAGCAATTCTCAGCTATTATTATTGAGTAAGGTATGAAAAAGACACTTGTGATTAGGTTAGAAACGGATCACCTGTGAGTATATGAAAAGGCTAAGTAGGAATTAGTCTCACACGCCTTAATAAGAGGAAACGTGTCTCTATACACACATATGGGCAGAAACAGGATGGGGCAAAAAGTCTTCGTGATGGCTGCTAAAGGCGTTCACTGTGTGATTCTACTCAGGCGTATGTCAGACGGTGTCAGAGCAGTGTTAACAGCACAGAAAACCAACTCTAGCTTCCAATTCCCCTAGAGACGTCACAAGGTACAGGAGAAGCGAGCTTGGGATTTACTGAGTCAAGATGTGAGCCCCTTAGATCTTCCAAAATCATTTCTAAGCAACTAGCAGCACCACTAGAGTATAGGAAAACCTTCTCAAGATATGCCTTCAAGTAAACACCACTTATCCCTACTAGAAAAGACCCCCCAACTTTTAACACCAAACATTATAGTTAAAGACCCTCTTGCTCTACCCTACCTCTCTGTTAATATAATTGGTTTTTCCAGTGGCTCTGCGGGGAGTTTATGATTCTCAAGAAGTCTTTTAAACAGCAGGGCTTCCTCCACTCTGTATGGGTTCAGTAACATGACATCTCTTCGGGACGTGACCAGCCACGCATCGGGGAACTTGAGACCGTGGATCAGGCAGATCTCATCCTTCTCTTCTAAGTCAACGTTCTTTTGTTTCTTAAAGTTCTCTTTTAGGCTCTCCATAGAAAAGGGGACCTCGGCTATTTTAATGTTTTCACTCTTCCTTTTCTCATTCTGGGACTGAAAGAGCTCATCGAGTTTCGGCTGATTAGATAGCGAGGCTTTCAGCTTGTGCTTCTGGGCCAAGCCCCATGCACTGGCGGCCCTTAGCTTTTTTCTGCCATCTTTTAAGGGTGCTTGTGGCTCCTGTTCAATAGCTCTCCGCATTTGATTATTGTATCGTTCCAAGTCTTTTTTAGCCTTTTCTTCATACCTAAGAACAGAGAGGAGACAGAACGGATAAGCACATGATAAAAACATAATAATAATCTGAAGCAAATTGTATTAAAAGTAACGAGCTATTATTCACGAATGACAAGAAAATGTGTATCAGAGTGACCCTCCTGTGCGTGCTTATGAGAAACTTCCAAACAGAGCACAGAAATTGGCTCCCGAAAAGTGGTCAGAGGCAAACGGGAAAGCGCCTGCATTTGTCTTCACAGAGTTCTTATCCAGCATTGGAGGGCAGGAGCGGCAGGAACTCAGCTGGGAGATGGCACCGACTACTCTGTGTCGTCAGAACCCAGACCTCTGCTTCCAGAACAACTTGAAATGGACAGAAAATCCCATGTGTGGGAGCCCTCGGGAAAACATGAAGAGGCTAATGAGCTGAACAGAATTTCCAGCTGCCGCAGTGCAGGGCAACAGAGATTGGTGTCCGGGTTACATGCGGAGCTTGGTAAACACGTTGGGCTTTCAATTAAAACTGGAAGGAAAAACCCTACACCCTAGAACTGAGTAAGTCTCGCCATCATTCAACGCAAAACAAAACCCCACAAGTTCAAAGGTGTCTTAAATAAAATCAACGCTGTTCAGGAGTGAACAGCATCACCCACAATGGCCATTGCACAATTAAAAGTCACCATCCAAGAAACAAAAAAGAAAAATGTGAGTCATGGCCAAGAGGAGAAGAGGTCAAGAAAAACCACCTTCAAAGTGACGCAGATTTATAATAAATAAAAAGATTTGTATAAATGCTTTGGGAGACTGAGGGAGACAGAAGGGGACGCTCAGGTGAGGAGCAGAATCTATACGCATACAAAGAAAGATGTGGACCGTCTAGAACTAAAACAGTATATGAGATGGAATAGCCACCGATTTAACTACACAGCAGAATGGACACACAAGGGCCAGTGAACCTGAGGCCAGAGTACAGAAATGAGCACCGTGAGGAAGAAAGGAAAGGGACCCATGACCACCGAAGCAGCCAGGGGCTTGTGCACAGCACCTCAACACATTAAGTCTCATTTATTTTTTAAATGAAATTACATTTGATGAGGAGTCATCTATGAGATGCAAGTCCAGGCAGGCTAAATGCAAACCAAGTGTGCCAGATACACCAGAAGAAGCTGGTGAAAACCAAAGGTAAAGCCCCCAGATCAGTCAGTGAGGACACCAAGTGAACAAGCAACGCTGGCTCAATGTGCCGCCATTTATGTCGCGAGAGAGTCCATGATTCAAATCTACCAACCACAGATATCCTTCAAAGAGAAGATTAAACAGAAAGCTTCAGATAAAAGAAGTTTTCTGCTAACATAATTGCACTCTTAAAAGAGTAACATGAACATGAAAGCAATTACACCGGGGGCTTGTAGGTTCGATGGGAGACTGTGCGGTATTGACTTTAACTGAAGCATGATAAAAGGGTACATGGTGAACTTACTAAGCAAAGCAAACAGTAATACAAAATAGATGTTACAATTAATTCATTTAAACCTTGAGTACCTCTGCAACTGCTCCAAAGAAGACAGGAACAGACAGCAAGAGGCAGGGCAGACTGAATGCCAACAATGTCAATTATTTTAATATTTCATAGACCAAATCTAACTAAGGGACAGGATACCCAACTTTTGTAACACAGACAGCACAAAAGAATGAAAAGATGTATACGCTATACAAACAGAGCAAGAAAATGGGGACTGATGGGCGGTGGTGGCGCATGCCTTTAATCCCAGCACTCGGGAGGCAGAGGCAGGCGGATCTCTGTGAGTTCGAGGCCAGCCTGGTCTGCAGAGTGAGTTCCAGGACAGCTACGACTGTTACACAAGAAAACCTGTGTTGAAAAACTAAGAAAAAAAGAAAAGAAAAGAAAGAAAGAAAGAAAGAAAGAAAATGAGACACTGACAACATTAGATGAAGCAGATCAAAATGCCAAGTTATCAGAGATGAAGGGGTCATAGGGAGCTTAACACTCAAATGTGTGTGCCTTTCTTCTCTTGATCAGTGGCATAAACCGATTGCAAAATGTCAGAAAAATGACAGATCTCAGTAACAATGCCAACCACTTCAACTTGAATGATTGGGAAAAATTCTGATTCTTTATATGTTAACCCGGATCATTTGCCAGGACGGGAAATAAGATGAGCCAGACACAGCAAAAGGTGAGTGAAATCTAATAGCTATTTTCTGTTCACGCTAAAACAGAAACCAAGTTTATTTTTAAAAGCCTCCAATATTAGACGGTGAATCAACAAGCCTTATTGTTCTTCTAAAACTAGACATTACTGCTGTAGGTAAACGCTACCCAATTTAAAAAATGATTTAGCGTGCAGCGTATGCCCACAGTGCCGGCACCTGGAAGGTGGAGGAAGGAGAATTACAAGGCCAAATTATTCTAGAGTAAATTGCATTTCGAAATCAAATGGAGAACAGAAATACTGCGCGATAAAGGCGTTCCAATAGCACCCAGGGTAGAAAGTACACCATGTAATCCACTGAGTTAATGGTAATTTTTCCATCCTCACTTTACGCAATCAGTTGATATGCAAAATTCCAATAAATCAAACAGATCTAACCTATGAAATTCAACTGCAACTGTATAAGCAATGGGTATTTCAATTCTAGTGGTAAAAAATATTTCAATTCTAATAGGTAAAAAGTTAGCGGGCTTTCTTCTTTTCTCAGTCATAGGAGTTAAAGCTTCTGGAGCCAAAGGCAGTCCACTACAGTGGCACTGTCAAGCACATTGGGAGAAGCTGAGATGCCTGGCTTCCCAGCTCAGGCCCCTCTGACACTGAATGGCTCTGCTTTTAAACACAATGATTTCTGTCGCATGAGCAGTAGCTGCCGCCTTGTTTACCCCAGGAAGCAGTGTCCAAGGGACCTCGGAGAGAAGGGATCCTGGTGGCCTGCTTGGTGGATTTCTGCTGACTAGAAACCATGTAAACTCAATGCAAAGTATTTTGTTCTGTCCCGCAGGGTGCTCATTTGTATTATGTGGGCAGTGTACATCCAGTACTGAGCTTTGTAATCAGGAAGGAGCTGCCTGGTCCACAGGAAAAGGTGATGCTCGCTCTAAGTTTCCACCAAGAAGTCCAAGTCCTGGGCTGGGGCTGTACTCAGTGGGGGAACACATGTGTAGCTCAGGCTAGGCTGGCGTCAATCCCAACACAACACAGTCCTGGGCTGGGGCTGTACTCAGTGGGGGAGCACATGTGTAGCGCAGGCTAGGCTGGGGTCAATCCCCAACACGACACAAAAAGAAACAAGAGACACAAATCCTCCAGCTTGAATGTGACATCTGACGAAAGGTTAGTTATTCCGTAACACTGATACATTTTTCAAAATAAGTTTGGCATTTGGAACTAGAGAACTAAGATTATTTCCGGTCTTGTAAGAAGCGGGCTTAGAACTTACGGAACGTGGCTTGTACGTATACTATAAAGTGAGGCTAAGAAACAAGAGACCGCAACACAGTGTGCTTCACAGAGCCTGTTTCTGGATAAAGAAATGCTACGTTTGGTTGGATAAGACGGCACAAAGGCCTGCTCCATCGGAAACCAGATCAACAGTGAGCCATCTGCTTCTCATACACCTTCGAAAGTTATCTTCTCTGAAGTGTACCCAGAACACCAACATATGAGTTAGTTAAACAAAACACAGGATCTTTAATAGTTTACTTTTGCAGGCACTGGCAATAAGTATATTTTTAGCAGTAGACATCAGAACGGCAGACTTTTCCTATGGGGTGGAAAATGAGTTCAGGATAAAGGTCACCATTTGTAATTAATTATCATGTGCAAATTTTCGCATATGGTACTAATCTTTTGATTTATCCAAGAAGTCAATTTAATTTAGTTCCTTGGGAAACATAAAAAAGTTATGTCCCAAATAATACGAGGTAAATGTTAAGTAGGAACAGCTGGTACCTCTGTATGTAACACCATTAAGGGCCTTAGCAACTCCAATGGAAAGTATTCACACTGATTTGACTGACCGGTCAGGTCAGACGATGTTTCTGAAACTAAAGGCTACATTTAATTATAAAGTTTACTTATCATTTCCAGTAACATCCAACTTGCAACATCACTTAGTTGCTTGAAGTAGAGATAGATTTCTATATTGCAAATGAAAGCTCAGATTAACACCACCTGCCTGAAGGATGCCCTCTCTGCAGAGTGGCTCACACCCGGATTCTAACCCTCTAGAGGGGAGGGGAGGAAAAGAAGTGGAAAGACCCAAAGGTTCCCATCCTCCTTTCCCAGCAGAAGCGGAACCTCAGGCTGGCCCTGGGACCTGCAGAAGCAGCTTTCTCCAGCACACTCTCACTTTCTGTCCCCACTCACAGAGTCTTCTCACTTCCTCGCACCGTGTTCCTTCTCGTGGGCTAACTCCCCAAAAGCTTTCTGGTTAGTGTTATACAGGGAACCATTTCTGTACCATCTACGAGACAGCTGCTGAGTCTCCATAACTCCCCATACTTCCCTTCTCTTACAAGTCATCAAGCCTATGAAGAAGACTGCACATGAACACTGGACAGTGTTCAGAGCCAGACTTTGGAGGACTCAGTCCTCCAAACAGACAAGGAGCTCCAAAGATTGTCAGAGGCAGACGTATGGGGACTCTTCCAGATACAACAGGACTGACGGACACGTGAATTCAGACTGGTGACATGCACGGGGCCTGTACAGGATTAAGACAGATGAGGTCCCAACACCGAGAGGAGGGTGTGGACATGAACTGATATCCACTTGTACAGGAAAAATCAGGGTTTCTTTTTTCCCCATTGGAGTCTCACTGGGTATATTAACCACAACTCAGGGCAGGTCCCACGCCAGCAGTAGAGGCCAACACAAGACACACTCAATGTGATTTTTGTAGACTGTTTGGGCATTTTTGGCCTTATTAGTCTTTTGTGTGTATATTTTACTTTCGGTTTTATGTTTTTGTGATGCATATTTCTTGATTCTTTGTACTTTAAAGAGAGAGGGAGATAAAGAGAGAGAGGGGGCATGAGGTTGGACGGGTGTGGGTTAGAGCTCCTGTATGGGGAGCTGAGGGGAAACCGTCACCAGAATATATTGTATAAAATAAATTTCAGCTAAATAACTCAAAACTTTCGATCACTACAGAACAAACTGCAGACTGTACTATTTAGGACTAGAAAATGCATGTTCTTTTTCACTAGCCAGAGTATCCGTAACTCATATTTCCTAAACGACGGGAATGGAAAGGATGGAAAACACAAAGGAAAAGCAGAAGAGAACAAAAGCCCCGCAGAAGGGGTGCACCCTTGTCCTGGTGTGGGAGCCAGGTCTGCAGTGAGGCCGTGGATATGGGCCAGGCAGGCCCACGGGGAAGGCAGGCGGGGCTGCCACCGAGCTGCTTCCAGACGGACTCTTGTATGGCCTTCTACCTGTGCAGAGCTGGGGTTACAGAAGGAAAGCTGCAGGAGAAGAGGCGTGGCTCCGACCCAGTGGATCAAGGTCCAAGGGCCCCTGGCCCTGAAACCTAAACATTTGGATTTTTAAAAAAGCATTTGTGTGTCTGATTCCAAGACATCAGAATTTTCTAGACACATTCCTGTTACCCATGCTAAATGAACTGGCTTAGAGCAAATGAAACCTGCTATGTACAACACACAGTGTCACATCACAGCTTAAAAATCCCAGTCACACTCACAGAAGTCACTCTTTACACGGGGGACACTGCTATAACAGCCATGACCTCATCACAACAGTGAGAGACAAACACACCAACACCAACACACCAACAACACCAGCACACCAAGATACCAACACCAGCACACCAAGACACCAACACCAGCACACCAACACACCAACACCAGCAAACCAACACACCAACACCAGCAAACCAACACACCAACACCAACACACCAACACACCAACACCAACACCAGCACACCAACACACCAACACCAGCAAACCAACACCAGCAAACCAACACACCAACACACCAACACCAGCAAACCAACACACCAACACCAACACACCAACACACCAACACCAGCACACCAACACCAACACCAACACCAGCACACCAACACACCAACACCAGCACACCAAGACACCAACACCAGCACACCAACACACCAACACCAGCAAACCAACACACATACACCAGCAAACCAACACACCAACACACATACACCAGCAAACCAACACACCAACACACATACACCAGCAAACCAACACACCAACACCAGCACACCAACACCAGCAAACCAACACACCAACACCAACACACCAACACCAGCAAACCAATACACCAACACCAACACACATACACCAGCAAACCAATACACCAACACCAACACACATACACCAGCAAACCAACATACCAACACCAGCATACCAACACACCAACACCAGCAAACCAACACACCAACACCAACACACCAACACCAGCAAACCAACACACCAATACCAACACACCAGCAGCCAACAAAGAATGGCTGCTTGCAGGTCCGAGGAGTAGTTTCTGAGGTCTGCTCTAAAAGGATTCCGTAACATTACTAACAAAACCTCAGATGAAGCGTGCCAACTCTAACACTAATATTCTGACAGTTTGGAACTCCCTAGGTAGATAACGCTAACTACTCCTCTCCACAAGGCAACGGAAGAGAAACTGCTGCAAGACTAAGGGAAACGCCTCCCTCCTGAGTTCACACGGCCACACACTCACAGACAACTTGACACATGAGAACTACACACATTTCTGGTGTGGGATTTACTTCTGTTTGTGTGGCCTTCCTTGGTTAATGAATAAAGAAACTGCCTTGGCCTTTGGATAGGGCAGAACTTAGGGAGGGCGGGGGCGGGGGAAACTGAACTGAATGCTGGGAGGAAGAAGGGCAGAGTCAGAGAAGCCATGGATCCTCTGCCTGAGACGGATACTGGTTAGAATCTTTCCTGGTAAGCCACTGCCACATGGCAATACACTGATTAATAGAATTGGGTTTAATCAAGATGTGAGTTAGCCAATAAGAGGCTAGAGATAATGGACCAAGCAGTGATTTAATTAATACAATTTCTGTGTGGTTATTTGGGGGCTAAGCTAGCCGGGCGGCCAGGAAAAACAAGTGGAGCCCCCCTCCTTGCAACACATTTATAGGGAACCATGTGAAAATTTAAAAATTTCACTCATCTTTACACTACATAATTGTATCACTCATATAAAACGTAAGGCAGCTATAATACTGTGAGTCTAATTGCACAGTAGCTCAAAATAAGATTCTAAAAATCTGACATTCATGAAGTATTTAGCATTTGAACACTGGCTACTTCAAGTACTAAATCAGGTTCTTAAAAAGCTATGAGGGGCTCGAGAGATAGCTCCATGGTTAAGAGCACCAGCTGCTCTTCTAGAGGGCCTGGGCTCGATTCTTAGCCACACACAGACTACCAACTCCACCTGGAACTCCAGTCCCAGAGGACCTGATACCTTCTTCTGCTTCCACGGGCACTAGGTATGCATGTGGCGCACAGACACACATGCAGGCAAAGTTACAGTGATTATATTATGGTTATTCTTAAAATATAAATAGCTTTCTTTCTCCCGTCCTCCCTTCCTTCCTTGTTGGTTTTTCCAGACAAGGTTTCTCTGTGTAGCTTTGGAGTCTGTCCTGGAACTAGCTCTTGTAGACCTGGCTGGCCTCGAACTCAAGAGATCCGCGGGCCTCTGCCCCCCATTAGTGGGATTAAAGGCGTGCGCCACTACCGCAGGCTGGTATCTTTATTTCTGGGCTGGCATCTTTATTTCTCAAGAATACAAACACGCATATTTATGAAGTCAGTGAGTCCCCTCTCAGGCTGGCCTGAGCATTGTGAGGAAGGAGGGTCATGTGGGAACTATTCTCGAAGCAGAACCGAGCATGGGATGAAATGGGGTAATAGGCTCACTGCATCTCACACTGATAAATATTTGGAAAAGAACAAAGCACAAACACGCCCTCCCCTAAACAAGCTGTCTGGTGTGTGATATTTAAGAGAGCAAACGTTTGATCTTTGTTGTTTTTAGTAACAGCTTTCTAATACAGCTCAGTATTTTATGTCCTAATTGTCATCACTATTAGCTGTAACTGGGTTTTTTCCTGAGACTGAATTCACTAATGAAGACATGAAAATGTTGACAATCTACATTTAGAATTAATTTTAAACCAGAGATGATGGATTATATTTAAATGTTTTTCCTAGATATTTGACAGAGTTTTGAAAAAAATCAGATAGTAATTAGTGATTAGAAGTTTAATTTTATCCTTCATTTTCTGGGCCAGATAACTGAAAATGCAACAATTTGTATTGCCATACCATTGTGTGTAGAGTGCTACCCGTGCAGGGTGACAGCCGTCATCTTTACAGAGCAGCTGCGGCTGCCTGGACGGGAGCCTAAGGCCTGAACCTGCTGACTGCCGAGATTCCCTTGTGGGAGGAAGGAGTTGGGGGGGAGGGGTCAGCAGACCCTCCCCGAGGTTCCAGATCGTCTTCCTTCACCTCTCCAGCAGCTGTGGGCAATTCTGACTGAGCTGCACATGGCATCACTGCTTCAGGAGGTGCTAAAGAATTCAGAGGGCGGAAGGTTAACTGGGGGGGCATTCCATCCACACAGCTATGCTGGCCTAAGATGTCTTGGTGGTGCAGCTAATTGGGGTCACTGATCCTCCTCTGAGTAAGCCCTCATCCATGCTCTGTAATTAAGTCTAATAAACGTACCGGTTCCCCAAGCTGGACTTTGGTGGAACTGTACTTTGGTTTGTCTTTGGTGCCTTATAAGAAAGGGGACACGTTTGCGTCTCCCAAGGGAAAAAGTTCCCGCAAGTGTGAGCCATTAGATTGTTTGGGGACATATACTTACATCTGAAGGTGCAAATAATACTTTAAGCAGATCAAAATTACTTACTTACACCCCCAAAACACCCACTACAATTTATGAATTGCCAATAGATGAGATTTAGATGCCACAAGCTACACTGGATACAGGCAGTAGCGCGCTAACCTGGTTCTACACCAACGGCACAGCCCTCTCTGTACTGTGTCTCATTTCAGAGACCAATATAAAAGGAGGGAACAGACAAGATGTTTATAAACCATTCTAATGCAAAAGCTTAAATCACACCCACTCCAGAGTTCTTTAACAGAAATAAAGAAAGCAGAGAGTCCAAAAGAAACTGAAGAAGCTGTAGCACACGGTAAACAGGGAAGCAGTAGACATGAATGTTTTCAAGACAAAAATTACAAATAATACACCCTATTCTCTAAAATAACAATTAAAAATGATACCAAGAAAGACACTCAGTGAAGCCTAGAAGCATTTTCATTGTCTTTCCTAAATGTGAAGTTTCGGATGGAAACAGTGGAGCATCCAGGACACACGACACTCTGGAAACTTACCTCAGTTTTTCCTCTTCACTCAGAGACTCCCACAGTGCTTCAATTTGTGCCGCTGCATCCTCCAAAGAAGTCTTGGGATTTTCTGCGAGGAACTGAGCGCGACGATCTTGAATAAACAGGGCCCTTGCTGCCATGGGCTTCTTGACTGCTCGGTTGCTGATTAAGTCATAGGCTGTAAGCTGTCCGGATCTGTTATCTATTACATTGGATGTCTTGCTACAAGGGCCATCACTGAGATTCTTCGGTTCAGGGGCTGGGTAACTATCATCGCTCACTTTACACACTAGACTTTTCTGTGGCACTAGAATTCTCACAGGTTCAATATTCTCTCCCACCGCATTCAACACATTTCCCTTGCTCCAGTCACCAGCACAGACTGCCAGAGATTCTTCGAGAAACGCTTCTCCCCCACCTCCGCCACGTTCTTCTGTCCCGTTCCTGCCATTTTCTCCTTGGATATGTTGGCCGGAACCGGCGGAGTTAGTCTTGCCGTATTTACTCTGGACAGCCTCTGAGGAGGACCTATCCACGGAGACACTTTGAAAAGGACTTCCAGTGTCCTTATTAACGCGAGGCTGTTCACTACTAACATGGCCATCACAGGGGTCGTTTACATTTATCTGCTGATTTAAATAATTAGCAGTGTTTTTTCTAGATTCATCATTTTGGAAGTGGACAGCCGAAGTGTCAGCATTTGGGTAATTATTTCCAGGTGACTCTATTTTATTCAAGGGCACATCTGTTTCTGCTGTCTCACGAGCAGCCATGTTGGCTGTGGAAACAGCTACTTTGTTATTTCCACAAGACTCTGTACTGGGTAGCGGTCCGTAACAGGTCACCATCAGATTTTCAAGAGAATTTAAAACAGCTTCCTACAAAATACAAATGAACAAATATTAGGGGCAACACTGGGGTAAAAAAAGGACAATATCCAAAATAATAGCAAAGATATAAAAAAGTCAGTCTTTTTTACACGGGAGCAGTTACGATTGCATAAGCTTATAAACGGCATAAATACATACAAAACTTTATTTGAAAAAGGTTACCTTATTCTGTAATAATACTTGACTTTTATCTGGTGTGAGATTTACATCCAGTTCAGCTGAAGGAACATCAATTTTCAGAAAGAAAATGGGATACGACCGAGTAGACTCCTTCAGGCACTTCAGATTATAATAACGCCGGATTAGCTAGAAACATATGCGATGCATGAAAGAGAAAAGAAGAAATGCAACCACCAACTTTAAATGCTCCTGAAGTGTACACTGCATTGAGGAAGCAAGCAGCTGTGACTGCTGGCCTGAGGTGGGCCGTGCCATGAGGTCCTGGCCCTGCATGGAGCACAGGCTGTCCTAAAATGCACACACTCTGTGCACTTGGCTTCACCAAGCACAGTACCATGGAGATGGAAGGCCTTGGTACAAACCACCCCGGCTACTTTCTGGTTACTTCCCTTCAGGATGTCATTTAATAGGCGTGGAGATGCATCTACCATGCAGCGCTCAGAGCCAACGGGGCCTAGTGGCCAGATCCTGTTTCAAGTCATGAGCAAAGGAGTGCATGAACAAATATCCTCAAACCACCTAACCCTCGCCTCCTCACTCAGAATGGGGGTGAAAATGTATTATTGTTAGTCTGTGGAAAGGAGTGCGTGAACAAATATCCTCAAACCACCTAACACTCGCCTCCTCACTCAGAATGGGGGTGATAATGTATTATTGTTAGTCTGTGGAAAGGAAATGGAACCTAAGTAAAATAGCAGCTCCATGAAAGGGATTTTGTTTGTTTTTCTTTTCCTTATTTAAATCAGGTTCCTAGAAGTGGTCTCTAACAATCTGACAAACGACAGAGTTAAGGTTTTTAATTTCTGGGACTAGAAAGATGGCACAGTGGTTAAGAGCACCGGCTGCTCTTTCAGAGGACCCAGGTTCAATCTCAGCACCCACATGGTTGTTCAGAACCAACTGTAATTCCAGTGCCAGAGGATCTGATGCCCTCTTCTGGCCTCCGTAGGCACCAGGCACATGGTAGGGACATACATGGAGGGCAGATATCATACACATAAAAATAAAATTAGAAAAAGGAAAAAAATTATTTAAAAGATATTAGATTCCTGATGCAAGGAATATTTTTCTTTCTAAAAGTGGTTACCTTCAGTATCTCTTTCTGATGTACTGGTCGACTGTTAATGAAGATAAAACTTCTCTCTGGGCTTGAAAGACTTGTGGAAATGTGGTCTGCATCAAGTTTTGGGAAGAATCCACTTAGGTAAATCTACAATGTGATACACAAGTCCAGAAGATGCAGTGTTAGCAATAATGTTCCAGAGGTCTGATCATGTACAACATGAGAAGGCATACAGAATAACACGTGAGCTTTGTGACTTCAGGTCACACGCATGCTGATAGATGTAACTCGAGAGTTCAGTGCTGAGTAAACACTGGAGCACTACACAGTGGGTGCTCCCTGCTCTAACTCCTTCATCTCATGACTCCAGAGTCAGTGCTGAGTAGTAAACGCTGGAGCACTACACAGTGAGTGCTCCCTGCTCTAACTCCTTCATCTCATGACTCCAGAGTCAGTGCTAGGTAAACACTGGAGCACTACACAGTGAGTGCTCCCTGCTCTAACTCCTTCATCTCATGACTCCAGAGTCAGTGCTAGGTAAACACTGGAGCACTACACAGTGGGTGCTCCCTGCTCTAATTCCTTCACCTCATGACTCCAGAGTCAGTGCTAGGTAAACACTGGAGCACTACACAGTGAGTGCTCCCTGCTCTAACTCCTTCACCTCATGACTCCAGAGTCAGTGCTAGGTAAACACTAGGTAAACTTTGTAACTCAGTTGTAAAAGAACTTATTAATGGCCCTGGTTTCAGATTTTTAACTGTCACAGAACGAACACCCTTACCTTGTTTTAAAGTTTCCTTCCTCATACAGTGACACCCCCGCCATCTTACTGGCTGTTTGTCTTTTTCTCTTCAACTATTATTTCCCACAAATGCAGCTGTTTGTTCTGAATACACACAAAGCTAACTGCACTGGGTTTTCACTGCTGTGTTTAAGGGAAAAACCTTTTACACTGAGTTAATTCCTTTAGGGCTAAATACTGGCTATGCACTGTATGTCATCTTCACGATTGCTTACAGAACTTCACTATGCAAACTTTTGTGATGATTTATATACTATACCTTTATCTAGCCTACAAATATATCAAGAGAAGGAAAAATCTGAAGTGATGTGGAATGTTAGTTTGAGATGTATACATTCCTTTTCACTGTGGAACATTTGTTTAATGATGAGCTGCATTCTTGCATGCTGCATTTGTTTAACTCTGCGAAGCTTTGTTGCTTGTGCCTATCTAAAACACCCGATTGGTTTCATAAAGAGCTGAACGGTCGATAGCTAGGCAGAAGAGAGAAATAGGCGGGGCTGCCAGGCAAAGAAAATAAATAGGAGGAGAAGCCTAGGCTCAAGGGAAGCAGAAGAGGAGGACACCAGGGGCCAGTCACCCCGCTACACGGGCAGTCATGGAGGAAAAAGGAAAGATACACAGAATAAAGAAAGCTAAAAGTTCAGAAGCAAAATGAAGTTGAAGAGAAACAGGACAATTTAAGTTAGAAAAGCTGACGAGAAAGAATCCAAGCGAAGGCAGGCATTCATAAACAGGAATAAGTCTGCGTGTTTATTTGGGAGCTGGGTCGCAGCAGACTCCCAAAGAGTAAAAACAATTCAGCTACACTGAAGGGCACTAGGAAACTGACTTAAGAAATAGAAGGCAGCCGGGCGATGGTGGCGCACGCCTTTAATCCCAGCACTCGGGAGGCAGAGGCAGGCGGATGTCTGTGAGTTCGAGACCAGCCTGGTCTACAGAGCTAGTTCCAGGACAGGCTCCAAAGCCACAGAGAAACCCTGTCTCGAAAAAACCAAAAAAAAAAAAAAAAAAGAAATAGAAGGCAGAGAATGGCCCTTCTTCTACCTCGAGATAATCAACATGGCACAGAAAACTGTTAAGAATTCCATTCATTGTCCCCTTCCTCCCCTTTACATTCATGGTGTGTACACATGTCTACACGTGCACATACTTGTATACACATATGTATATTCTGGCATGTAGCCTTATCTGGAAAAACTCAACCCAATGAGCAACTCTAATTCAGCTGCGGCTAAGGAAAGCAACCACGGGAGGAAGGTGCTATTTATAGCCAGGCAGTCACCATGGCTCCCCTTACCAACACAGCCTGTAGGCTGTCACCTATGTCGACGGCTACCCCTGCACTTGCAAGGAAGTGCTTAAGGAGATGCGGTACCAATTTTAGAACACTAAGTGCATTACTGTCACGGGGCCAATGTGGACCAGTTTGAAAAAATAAATTAATAAATCTGGATAATCCACTACAAGATGATACCACTTAATTAACTGTAAAACTCCACAGCATTTATAAATGGGTGTATAATTTACCAGGTAACACGAGCCTCTTCTTAAAGCTCTCGCTGGGCACCAGGAGAGTCTGCTTAGACTCTGAAGGACTTACTGAGTATGCGGATTAAGACAAGACAAGGATGAGGAGAGGAGAGGAGAGGGTCCCCGTCCCATGCCCTAAATAGGGAAAGAATAAAGAAAAGGAAGCGTCATACAAAGCTGGTGGCTTCCTTCCTCGGTACTCTGGTTGCCAGTGTGTAGCTACTGTCACTGCTAGACACTGGGCTTTAAAGATGAAGGTAATCTGGAAAACTAACAAAGCCTCGGTGCGCGCAATGCTATACAGATTAAACAACAGACTAGTTCCTAGGAAAAGAACAAAAACCCCAGATCAGTTCCCTAAAAGCCAGAGCCTGACAGACTGTAGGAGACTGCACCTCCACCCATAAAGGAAAGCAGGAATCCATCCCTCAGCTGCTCCTCACATGGACCTCTCTCCTCTCCTCCAGCCTCGTGGACAAACTAGCATCTCCCCCCTGGCGCTGTGTGGCGCACCTTTAATCCAGCACTCCGAAGGCAAAGTTTCGAGGCCCACCTGATCTATACAGCAACATAATAATTTCCAGGCCAGATGGGGCTATGTAGTGAGACCCTGCCTCAAATAACAACTATCACCCAAATAAACCGGCTTTTCTCAATTACTAACGCAAGCTTGTTGTACGCTTGGTTTTGACTCTGCAGGCCTGATATCTATGACTGCTAATTTAAGAAAAAAATCTACCAAATCAACTGATATCCAGCTGCCTCCTCTGGGACACTTCACTTAATCTGGTCTGCTGTGGTAAGGATGATTATGGTCCCCCGAAGTTCCACGTTTAGACCCCACTTTGCTCTACAGTTAATTTCCCTGAGTAATTGCATTCTCATCTCTGGCTTGAGAAGCACCCATTACTGATACAAAGACAACAATGTTGTAGTTATTTCTTGCATCAAGTAGCTGTCGCAAAAAAGGAATTCACCACACTAAAATGTGGTATGGTATGTTAGCTCATGTTTACCCTACTGTCCAACTGGCAGCTTCTGTATTCTTTACCGTTCTAGAGAGTACACAGTATGTCAGACAAACCTGTTCTTCACCTTGAGTATAATAACATAAGCCTGACTGATCTGCTAACCCTCATCTTTTTTCCAGCAGGGCTTCATAACATCACACATACCTAAATAACATACATTTCTCATGTGGTCACTGAAATACTCTGTTCAAGGCAGCACAGCAAGTTCGTGTGGAAATTTCCTCTCCTAAGTGCAAACTACAGAGGGGTGATAAAAACCAATGTTTAAAGTAATTTCGAAAGAACTAACATCATCAATGTCTGACAAAGGTCAAGTTTTGTGTGCAGACTACATAACGGGAAGTGGGGGCGAAGGAACAAGCCCTACGTGTGTTAGGATGGGAAATAGGATGTCTCATTTGGAAATTAAAATCTAGCAGAGGCCTGAAATCAGAATTTCCATTTGGAACAGGAAGCTCACATAACACCTCCCTGGAAGAAAACAAAATGACTTACATACTGTGACCACTGTCTGCAGTCACTTGCCAGGGTCACAGGCAAGAACAGAGTCAACACTAACACCAGGACAAGGTTTGGCCAAGCTGGAGCCTGCAGGCCTGAACTATTAATGCAGCACCTGGCTTTAGAGAGGGCTGGAAAAGAGGTAGGTGGTACGCTGCAGGAAGGAACTGTAACAGCAGAAATAAACTTAAGGTTTCAAGTCATAAAATAGCAGAGAATAAAATTCTTTTTTTTTCTCAGAAAATAGAAATGATAGAACACTGTGAAAATGGCTCCAGAATTACATATTATAACACGGAATTTAAATAAAAAATTAGCATCAATTAAGTCAGAAAGTTATCAAACAGACACCTATCAATGAAGCTTAGAAGAAACCGAAGATAAATTCCAAGTACTGAAAAAAATACATAGTCTGAGGACTAAAGATCCGGTGGTAGTGAGACATTCACTCGGCTTGGAGCAGAGCTAAAAATATCAGAGAGAAGACAGGCGTCAAGAAGGACAACCTAAGGAGCTCCAACGACTTACACCGGAAAGCATCTCACAAGAGCTATGAAGGCAGGAGCTCAGGCGGCACCATGACCTATAAGGAAGATTCTTCCCAGGACCAAACACACAAAAAGACCCTTGAGATATAAGAGGAAGAGATATACAGACACTCTGTGTCCAAGGTTCCCAGTGCCAACACATCTGCCAATCCAGTCCAATGAAGGGAAACATGGTGGGGAGCAGAACCAAGTGAGAGGTGACAGTCGGTAGTAGGTGGGCAAACAAAAATTATTATTCTTATTTTTAACTAAGGATGAGAAAATACCCAAGGAGAGTCCAATACTGAACATGTCTTCGAGCACACAAGGCAGAGTATGGTACGGTGACGGAGGCTGCTGGGACAGACACACGACACAGCACCAGACAGCCACAGGAGAGCGATCTCACTGTGGATCTCTTAGAGACATTCCACGGCGAGCAGACATGCTCTGTAAATGCGCTGTACCCAGACCCGAATAACCACACAAAAACTACAGTATTTACAACAAAAATAATTACGACACTATTTGGTCAACAGCTCAAACATATTCCTAGTTGCTCTTACATCTTAAATTAACCCATTTCTATGGTTTTGTATTGTACCACAGGGCTCATGGTTTGTTACCTCACACTTTGCTTCTTGGGTGGCTACCTGGCATCTGTCTCACTCTGCCTTCTTTCTCCCTGCATTCAGTTGAGTTTTCTCCGCCTAGCTATATTCTGTCCTGCCATAGGCCAAAGCAGCTTCTTTATTCATCAATGATAATAAAGCATATTCACAGCACACAGAGGGGAATCCCACATCAATTCTCTAGTACTTGAACTAGAACATTATAAACACATGTATTAAACATTCTTCTATGCAAAAATAACCATATGAAGATAAAACAAAATTCCTGTCACCTATGAAAAATTACCAGGAATCTTTCTGTATATCTGTCTTCCAAACCAAGGGAAAACAAACAAACAAACAAAAATATAAATCAAATGAAAAAAAAAATCAAAACAAAAAATAGTAAACACAGATCTGGCAATGTCTCAAAACAGAGTAAACTCCCAGGGACACATCCAATCACAGCTAATGAAGGTCTACGTAACTGCTTTCCACACTTGAGTGTGGCACCCAAGGACTTTGGAAAAACAGATCTGCCTCGGTTGGCGTGACACCCATTTCTAACAAACTTCCATGTGATGCCAACACTATTAGTCTGCATGTGATCATATCAAGACGTCTGGCGTCTCTAGAGCATGAACTTACAACAGACAACCAAGTCCCAGGAAACCAGAAGGGAACCCAGGGCAACTTAGATTTACCCTGAGAATCCCAACTCAGCCACCATAAGTAACAACACTAGAGACATCCCTTGTTTAAGGAAATTAAATAGTAATATTTAATATATCAAAATCAATCACAATTAATTTAACTTTGTGCTTGAAATTTAAAAAAAAGGGGCTGGAGAGATGGCTCAGAGGTTAAGAGCACTGGCTGCTCTTCCAGAGGTCCTGAGTTCAATTTCCAGCAACCACATGGTGGCTCACAACCATCTGTACTGAGATCTGGTGCCCTCCTCTGGCGTGCAGGCATACATTGAGGCAGAATGTTGTATACATAATAAATAAATAAATATTTTTTTTTAAAAAAAAGAAATTAAAAAAAAAGGAGGTGACAGGAGGAACAGATGGAGATGGGTGGATGGATGGATGGATGGGTGGATGGATGGATGCATGGGTGGAAGGGTGGAAGGGTGGATGGGTGGGTGGGTGGGTGGGTGGATGGATGGGTGGATGGGTGGATGGATGGGTGGGTGGGTGGGTGGGTGGATGGATGGGTGGATGATGGAGATGGATGAATGGGTGGATGGATGGATGGATGGATGGGTGGATGGATGGGTGGGTGGGTGGATGGGTGGATGGATGGATGAATTAATGGATGGATGGATGGGTGGATGATGGATGGATGAATGGGTGGATAGATGGGTGGATGGATGGATGGATGAGTGGATGGATGGATGGAGGGATGGATGGATGGGTGGATGGATGGGTGAATGGATGGGTGGATGAATGGATGATGGACAGATAGATGATAGACAGACAGACATGTAAGGATTACCCAAAGGGGACCTGACAATCAACAGCAGCCATAAACACACATTCCCAGTTGAATTTCTCTCACACAGCAAAAAGACAAAGAGAATCAGAAGTTCAGAACAAAGAAGAAGACAGGGAAAGAGAACAGAGATTTGGAGTAACAGGACATTCTAAGCAAAATAACACTCATGTCCTATGAAATACATATTGTTTAAGGACACAGTATGTTAAATAACACTCATGTCCTATGAAATACATATTGTTTAAGGACCCAGTATGTTAAATAATACTCATGTCCTATGAAATACATATTGTTTAAGGACCCAGTATGTTAAATAATACTCATGTCCTATGAAATGCATATTGTTTAAGGACACGGTATGTTAAAAACAAAAACTTAGCTGGGCAATGGTGGTGCAGGACATGCATTAATCCCAGCACTTGGGAGGGAGAGGCAGGCTGTGAGTTCAAGGCCAGCCTGGTCTACAGAGAGAATTCCAAAACAGGTTCCAAAGCTACACACAGAAACCCTTTCTCCAAAAACAACAACAACAAAACAAAAACAAAACAAACAAATACACTTATCTTTAGGATGATTCAAAACCAAGCAGGTATAAAATAGCATTTAAATATGATACTCTTGGCAACTGAACTTATCTTTCTAAGTACAACAATCAGAAGAGTTTGCAGATACAGTGGGGTCTACTAGAACACACAGAAAGGGGGACACCGAGAAAAACAAGAGGAGGGCCTTAAAAAATAATTAGCTGAAAGAGAGACAGAAAGACAAAGACACAAAAGAAACTGACAATGGTAGGAGTATAAACCCCATAGCTGAGAAAGAAACGGGTCTTCAAACTGAAAAGCGTCCACATTAAGTCCTTGGCACACTAACAAAACATATATGACCTTTATAAAACTTACACATGGGGGAAGAAGAGGGAAGATACGGAAACAGAGATGGTAAGAAGGGGCAGCCAACCTTCATCCACCAGAGACCACCCTGGCACCCAGATCCCAGGTAAGCCCCCACCTATGGAGCACCAACACTCTTCCAGTGCCCACCCAGCCTAGCCCTAACGGCCCCTCCTCTCATCTTCACTATATCCTGGCCCACACCTCCCATGGAAGGCCCCTCCTCCTCCACAGCCCATGCCCAGAACAACCTCTCTCTCTCTCTCTCTCTCTCTCTCTCTCTCTCTCTCTCTCTCGCACACACACACACACACACACACACATGCGTACACACACGCACACACATACGCACACGTATACACTTGAGTGCGCACACACACGGAGCATCATCCGGCAGTCCGCAGAGCTGAAGACTGAGTGTGTATTCAGGACTAGAAGGAAATAAAGGAGAAGCAAGATCTATTCTTTACTCTGTACTGTAAAGAGAAGATTCTACACTGAAAATAAATTTAAAAAAAAAAAAACCAATGTAAATAAAAAGGAAATCAGGGCTGGGAAAATGGGCGTCGCATTTTGTTGTTTGTTTGTCTTAGAACCATCCTAGAAGGAAGCCATAACAACCTGACTGGGTGTGGGAATTACAGAAGGTCCTTTGGGTTGCGTACCTGAGATTCTTCACAGTGGTGCTGAACAGCGTCAAAGTTGGCCATCACAGCAGTCCCCAGAACCGACATGAGAGCCGTCCTGTGATCCGGTACTCTACTCTTGTGCCAAATAACTGCCTAGGGACAAGAAAACATAGGTGTGTTTTGGTATAAATAAGATGTACTAAGCTTAAACATTTACAGTGTTTACAGAGTTAGCATTTCCATTCAGAAGACACTCCTGAGCTAGGGTCTGAAAGGGTAAACCCTGGCTCTGCGCTTTAACCTGCGTACGCAGAAACGCACGGCCTGACCAACACTTCAGACTGTCCTCAAAATTTCACAAGCAAACTCTTTCTCTAAACTTCAGAGTACATACTTCAAAATACATTGACAATTAAAATATGGCCCTTAGTGAGATCTTCCCCCAAGAACTGGCAGCCAGGCTGCAGGACTACTGCAAACAAACAGCTGGACAAATTGTAGGAGCAACGTGCACTCTAAAATGGCTTCTGCAGCTACATGTAGTACACAAAGAACTTACAATTAACAGGACCTCGCGTGCATAAACATTGCACAGTGAGAAGATCCACTTTACTAGTGTAACTGTAGGAAGATCAAGAGACAGTCAAGAGACTTGACAAAGGGGGCTGGGCCCACTTACAGTTGAAAACCCTTGAAAAACTGTCACTATAGAAAATAGTCAACCATCCAACAAATACTCACCAGGTCCTTTATGTCCTGATGAAATATGCAAAGGCTCTAAGAGCAATCATTATTAGCAACCCAGGGACAAGAAAGGGGAGGGAGCAGGGGTGGGCACAGGGCTGTGAGGAGCAGGGGTGGGCACAGGGGTGAGGAGCAGGGGTGGGCACAGGGGTGAGGAGCAGGGGTGGGCACAGGGGTGTGAGGAGCAGGGGTGGGCACAGGGGTGAGGAGCAGGGGTGGGCACGGGGGTGAGGAGCAGGGGTGGGCACGGGGGTGAGGAGCAGGGGTGGGCACGGGGGTGAGGAGCAGGGGTGGGCACGGGGGTGAGGAGCAGGGGTGGGCACGGGGGTGAGGAGCAGGGGTGGGCACGGGGGTGAGGAGCAGGGGTGGGCACGGGGGTGAGGAGCAGGGGTGGGCACGGGGGTGAGGAGCAGGGGTGGGCACTGGGGTGAGGAGCAGGGGTGGGCACGGGGGTGAGGAGCAGGGGTGGGCACGGGGGTGAGGAGCAGGGGTGGGCACGGGGGTGAGGAGCAGGGGTGGGCACAGCGGTGTGAGAAGTGATATAGCAGAAGAGCGTTATGCATAGCATAGTCTTTCCAGGCAAGCAGTTCTATCTCTGTGGCAACAAAGATGTGATCACTGAATTCAATCTGGAGAGTTGTCACAGTTGGGAAGTGTAAGCAAGGCCAAACTAGCAATCTGCCTGGTGGTCACATAACTGAGGCAGACAGCTCCTTCAAGAACTCTATCTGTGATGGCAACAGACAGGCAATACTGGAGGCAGAATGAGGACATACTTGGCCAGGAGGAGGTTGATGGTGTACACGAGCAAGTCTGTGTGGAGGCCTGAGGTATGTAAATTCATTTTGTGTGTGTGTGCGTGCACGCAGAGCACATTTTACATGATTATCGATCTCTACTTGAAAAGTAGAAACATAGTTATTAAATATTTAAGAATTGTGGAAAAGGTCTAACATAAATTTTGAAAGATATGTAAGTCAGAATTGCTGCATGGCACCAAGCTGAGATCATCTTTTCAGTGTCTATGTTGTTCAGAAAAGTAGAACCAGTACCAGAAAAAAAGTTTTTAATAAACCAGGCTGCTTAAACCACATAAATAAATTTTGATTCTCAACTCAATGTAGAACTTTGACAACTCAATAACTTGTATACTCTTTGGGAACTTTATGGATGTTTTTTAAAATTGTAAAAAATGGGGGTCTATTATGCACAAGGCAGGGGAAAAGAGAGGCATGGATAAGGACAAAGAGAGGAAGAGAAAGAGAAAGGGAAACAGAGAAGAGGAGAGAGAACAAAAATGTACACCAAAGCAAATCAGTCGGGAGTCATTAACAATGGCCAGGACCTATGCGGTCAAGAGCAGGTCAGTCAGGAGGCCTTAGCAAAGGCCAGGACCTATGTGGTCAAGAGCATGTCCTCCTGGCACCATGTGCAGTTAGGACAGGAGGGATGTAATGAGCTCTAATGGAATCTCAGAAAGAAATCAGAGAAAACATCACCTTTCACAATAGCCACAAATAACATAAAATATCTTGGGGTAACACTAACCAAAGAAGTGAAAGACCTGTTCAAAAAGAACTTTAAGTCTTTGAAGAAAAAAAACTGAAGAGGATACCAGAAAATGGAAAGATCTCCCATGCTCTTATAGGTAGGATCAACATAATAAAAATAGCAATCCTACCAAAAGCAATCTATAGAATCAATGTAGTCCCCATTAAAATCTCAACACAATTCTTCACAGACCTTGAAAGAACAATCCTCAACTTCATATGGAAAAACAAAAAACCCAGGATAGCCTAAACAATCCTGTATAAAAAACTTCTGGAGGCAAAAACCATCCCTGACCTCAAGCTCTATTATAATGAATGACATCAAGCTTCAGTAATGAAAATACCTTGGTATTGGCACAGAAACAGACAGGTTGACCGATGGAATCAAATCAAAGACCTGGATATTAATCCACACATCTATGAACACCTGATTTTTGACAAAAACGCTAAACTTATACAATGGGAAAAAGAAAGTATCTTCAACAAATGGTGCTGGCATAACTGGATGTCAACATGTAGAAGAATGCAATACATCCATATCTATCTCCATGCACAAAACTCAAGGCCAGATGGATCAAAGACCTCAATATCAGCCTGAACACACTGAACCTGATAGAAGAGAAAGTGGGAAGTACCCTACAACAGATGGGCACAGGAGATCACTTCCTATGTCTAACCGCAGATGCACAGACATTAAGGGCAACATTGAATAAATGGGACCTCCTGAAACTGAGAAGCTTCTGTAAAGCAAAGGACACAGTCAATAAGGCAAAAAGGCAGCCTACTGAACAGGAAAAGATCTTCACCAACCCCACATCAGACAGAGGTCTGATCTCCAAAATATATAAAGAACTCAAGAAATGAGACAACAAAATATGAAATAATCCAATTAAAAAATGGAGTACAGATCTAAACAGAGAATTCTCAACAGAAGAATATCAAATGGCTGAAAGACACTTAAAGAAATGTTTAACATCAGGGAAATGCAAATCAAAACAACTCTGAGATACCATCTTACACCTGTCAGAATAGCTAAGATCAAAAACACCATAATAGTTTATGTTGTAGAGGATATGGACTCAGGGGAACACTCCTCAATTGTTGGTGGGAATGCAAACTTGTACAGCCACTCTGGAAATCAGTATGGCCGTTTCTTCGAAAAGTGGGAATCAAGCTACCTCAGGACTCAGCAATACTACTCTTGGGCATATACCCAAAGGATGCTCAACCATACTATAAGGACATTTGTTCAACTAAGCTCATAGCAGCATTATTTGTATTATAATAGCCAGAACCTGGAAACAACCTAGTTGCCCCTCAACTGAAGAATGGATAAAGAAAATGTGGTACATTTACACAATGGAGTACTACTCAGCAGTAAAAAAGAAAAAAATGATGTCTTGAAATTTGCATGTGGATGGATGGAACTAGGAAAAAAAAACATCCTGAGTGAGGTAACCCAGACCCACAAAGATGAGCATGGTGTGTACCCACTCACAGGTGAATCTTAGCTGTAAAGCAAAGGGTAAGTAGTCTATAGTCCACAAGCCAAGAGAGATGCTTAGTGACAAGGAGAACTCTAAGAGAAACATACACAGATCCCCTTAGGAAGGTAAAATAGATGAGATCTCCTGAGAAAACTGTAAGTGTTGGGGTGTCAGAGAAGGGAAGATGGAAAAGGAGGAGGGGAAAATGGGAGGGAGGAGGAGAACTAGAGGGAACAGGATGGTTGAGATGGGGGGAGGACAGAGACAGAGAACAAGGAAAGAGTTATCTTGATTGAGGGAGCCATTATGGGGGGCGGCAAGAAACCTGGCACTAAAGAAATTCCAAGGAATCCACAAGGATGACCCCAGCTAAGACCCTTAGCAAGAGAGGAGAGGGTGCCTGAACTGGCCTTGCCCTGTTGACTCTAAGATGACTCTCTTAGATGTCACCATAGAACCTTCATCCAGCAACTGATGGAAGCGATGCAGAGAACCACGGCGGAGCACTGGCAGAGCTCCCAGAGTCCAGTCGAAGAGTGGGAGGAATGAGAATACGAGCAAAAAGGTCAAGACCATGATGGGGACTCCCACTGAAACAGCTGACCTGAGCTAATGGGAGCTCACCAACTCTGGCCTGACAGTGAGGGAACCAGCATAGGACCAAACTAGCCCCTCTGAATATGGGGCAGACTGTGGGGTCGCTGACAGTGAGACCAGGATTTATCCCTAATGCTTGCTCTAGCTTTCTAGAACCCATTCTCTCTGGAGGGATACCTTGTTTAACCTAGATATAATGGGGGAAGGCCTTGATCCTGCCTCAAAGCAATGTGCTAGACTAAGCCTTACCCTCTCTGAGGAGTGGATGGGAGTAGGGGGTAGGGGAGGGAAGGTGGAGAGAGCAGGAAGGGGGGGAGTGGGAAACAGATTTAGCATGTAAAATGAGAAAAGATAGTTTTTTTTAAAAAAATAAAAAATAAAAATAAAAAAACATGACCGCATGGGGACATTTTACAAAAATTATTTAGTGAGAGCTGAAATTAGAATTAAAGTGGCTTAAAAGAAAACCAACCGCTGTTATAGTATTTATCAGAGACTACCAGCTTTGGCAGGGCACATGAGAAAGGAATAAAGTTCATTCACAAAATGTTCCCTTCATCTCTGGGAACTGCGGTTTCTGCTGTACTAGTTATGGTGTGGCTGCTTTCCATTCTTAAAAAATACAGTGGAACACGAGCCCAGGAAAATGACATTTACAAATGTTGCCTTCTGGTTTGCCCATTTATTCAATGACTTATTCATTTGAAAGGCAATTCCCCTGTAAGCTATGGAGTTAACACTGGAGAGAAGAGAACCAGCATAGTTAAGAGGACGA